AAAAAAGGAGGGGGTGGAGTTATGGGTGCTACCTGGGTGCTCAAAATATCTGATCTAGAAAGGACTTCTGAACACATGAACAAGACTGATGACCCCAGCCTCATGTCTTTACACAATAATAAAAGTTACACCTGAAGACAAATATTAGCGTCTGGAAACATCCCCTGTAGGACATTCCTGTCTTGCCCGCTCTACTTCCCTGCATTTCAGCCTTTGGCTCCTATGAAGAATCTGTCTTCTTCATATCTGACTGACAATTTGACAAACTCTGACTCTGGCACCTTTCTAGAAGTTGACATCTTCAGTCTGTGTATCAGCTTTATACTGGGTCCAGGCAGGTATCTCCAAAACTGGCTGAGAGGGAACCTTAAGGAAGTTTGGAGATATATTTTAGCCACGCTGATATCAACATGACATTAAAGTCACAGAGCAGTTTCTCTGTGATACAAATCTCACAACTCACCTATGGCAGCTCTTCCACAACACTAAGTGACTATAGAAGCTTAGTGATAAAATCCAGAGGGCTTGCCCTTCCTGTCTCATCTAATGCCAGAATAGAGCACTGTTTTGTTTTGTTTTTTTAATTTAATAATCCTGGCACATTTTATCCTTGTCCTTTAGGTAACCAGATAGCTCACCATCCAGAATGGATATATCTGTCTTCTGCTCTGTAGTTGGTGGCAAGTTAGCAAACAATAATGGAAAAGAAATTCCTGCTGTTTATCCCTGATCTTTATTAAAGTCTTCTTATTTGGGGTGCCATGATATCCTTTGATGTTTCCCTGGCCTTCAAGGAAAACCGACCTCTACTTGAAAGGAAAAACCTTTAACTGGCTTCTATCATTAAAACAATTATTCTATAAAAATAGAGGCAGCAACCAGAAGCACCATCTTTGCCCCACTTCATTCAGAGCGAATTCGCCAAACTGTAAAGTAGCAGTTTAGTTTCTACTTAAGATTCTTAGGTGGATCTTTCCCCTCCTTGACAGATGTCTATCAAGGACTGGGAACTGCATCTAACATCATAGTAACTGTGGTAAGTGTGGCCACAGAGATCTTCTCTAACCATGGTCGTAGCAGGTCCTAGAGATTTCAGGGCAGGCATGCCGCCTCACGTCCCAGTTCCCCCACTTGGGAAACATTGGACCAGGTAGTAAGTACTGCACTTCATAGGCCACTGAGACTCTGTGAAAGCCACTTAACTGTGCTGCTGAATAGCACAGGCACTGTGTAATTGGACTACCACAGTTACATCCCAATGAAACTTTGGTGATAAAAACTTGACACAGACTGGATTGGAAACATCCAGCCATAGGTAGCAACCTCTGATTTGTAGACCACAGGGGTGCTAAGACTGTGGGGATTCACTAATAGGATTTTCATCCAACTTCCTTTGTATTTTAACTATTGCATTGTTTTCTTTCTCATTACAAAACCTGGGGATCTAATCTTTGCAAGACTTTATAGAAAAACCATACAAATGCTACCAGGCACACTTACTCTTAGTATTTTGGAACACAATCTCCCATGTGTGTGAGGGGGGTAGGCATGTGTGTACGCATGGCTGTGTGTATGTGTGTGTGTTTTTAAGTGCTGTAATGCTGTGTAATGATATATGTGGAGATTTTCCAGATATCTTTATTCACATCCAATTTCTTTATAAATTTAAGCCAGTTTTACTAATTTCTATCTTAAGAGTTGGCTTTCTTATCAGGGCAGTGAATAACTCAAACTATTTCTTCTCTCACTTTACAATTGGGAGACATTGGTCGTTGAGACTGGGAGCAGCTTACACTCAGAGGGGATAGAAAGGATGTTGTCTATTGAACTCTATAACACATTCCTGTAAAACTGGGGCTCAGGGTTACCCTATATATATGGGTGTTAGGAAACTACTTTGATATTAACAGAGCTTTCTGAGGCCCTTGTTAAATCTGTATAACAATTCTGAGACAATAACAATTCATAACATCATGGCTGTTCTCAGTTCAATCCTCGTGATGCACTGGGCATCTATCAGAGAAGAGAGACTTCTGAATTGTGATGAGCATCAACCATCTGTTCTCAAGTCATGAGGGCTCATCCTCCAGCCCAGATGACTCTGGCACCTGTCTTCCCACTTTTCCCATTGCCATCACTGGTTGTTCTTCTGCTTATCAGATTCCATATCAGACAATATCAAAAGTCCTAATATAGACGGTTTAGTGCAGGTAGAAGCTAATACCCGAAAACACACTGGAGCTGCATGTAGCTTTCACACTTAACTCACTGTTGTTACATCTTCCGAAAATAAAGTCAAGTGTTTCTATTCTGTCACTAAAGAGAGGTATGCCTCATGAGATAAGCAAGAGAAGCAAGAAACTACAATTGACATGAATGGGCTAAACTAGACATAAAGAACATGACCATTTTAGCTTGTGTCTTGCAAGTTATAAGCTGGATAGAGCCACATTTTGAACCTCAAGGGCAAGAACAGTTGTTTCTGCAATGTGGCTAACACAAAGCAGCTGGAGGAATGCACCTCAAGGGCAAGAACAGTTGTTTCTGCAATGTGGCTAACACAAAGCAGAGGAATGCTGAGGGTGTGTGTGTGTGTGTGTGTGTGTGTGTGTGTGTTGCTAGGGATCAAACCCAGGGCCTCTTGCATACTAGGTAAGCACACTGTCACTGAATTATAGCCAATTTCAGTAGTTTTCAGTAGTGTTTACAATATTTGGAACATAGTTTTTAAGCACCTGTAAATGAAAGGCTTACTCTCTTATCAACGAGAACATAAAACTTGGCAGCAAACAGCGCTCACTGAGAAGCGGTTCAACCACTCAAGAACCTATGACCAGACACATACCTTTTCTCCCTCTGGGTTGTCGGGAACCAGATAATTGATGCAAATCCTGGTGTACAATAAACACTGACACTGATTTTAATAGAACCATTGAGCTCATTACAAATTCTTCTTGCCTGCTACTTCTCAAAGTCCTTTGTCAGCAACACATTACTTGCTGTACTCTGTCTCTTTATGCGTGTAAAGGTAAGAAGACAATTCTGCTATAAATCACACAATTGTTGCATTCCAACTAGACTTTCCTCTAATTAATGCTAATTAGTGATGTTCAGATGGGATTTCAATAGGCGATAAAGCGCTATTTACTCTGCAATTCTACTACAAGGGAACTATTTTGGTTTTGTTTTGTTGTTGTTGTTGTTTTGTTGTTGTTACTATAAATGGAAGAAAGCAATACCAAATAAAGATCAACTACAACTTCCAGGATGTATTAAGTCAATTTTGTGTGCTGCTTTAAAACAATGAAAATATCAGTTATCCTGTCAGGCAACTCTCTCTAGCCTTTGTACCAAATAAGTCAGTCTTGGGAGCCTCATGATCATAGAAAATAGTACATTTTAAAACTTAACCTTGAATCTGTTTCCAAGATGTCATTCAGTAGCTTAAGTTAGTCCTGACCAACAAGCTATAAAAGTCATCTTCTCTTGTAAGTTTTTAAGCAAGAAAACTCAAAAGAGCAAGGGAAAGGACTTGGCTGCTTTGACACTGGCAAACCAGGTAATTATCTCCCACAGTTCTAGATCTGTCTTTGTGGTGGTTTAAATGAGAATGTCCCCTTAGCCTCAGACATTTGAATGCTTGGTCCTGCATTGACGGTGCTATTTGGAGAGGCTTAGGAGGTGTGGTCTTGTTGGAGAAAGTATGTCACGGGGGGAAGGATTTGAGGTTTAAAAGCCTCAGGAAACCCCCCAGTGTGCTCTCTTGGGTCCCCGCTTACAGTTTAACATGTGAACGTGCAGCTCACTGCTCCAGCCACTATGTCTGCCAGCCGTCATGCTTCCCCATCATGATGGTGATGGGCTCTTATCCCTCTGGAACTATAAGCCCCAGCAAACTCTTCCTTCTGTAACCTGCCTTGGCCATGATGTTTTATCCCAGCAATAGAAAAATAATGAATACAGTGTTGTTAAGCCTTCTGGTGATAAAATCAATCCAAACTTTCCATCTGCACAGAAATTAGGATTTCCCATACTTGCCTACCAGAAAGGCCACATACTAAGGAAAAAAAAATTAGTAAACATTCCTGGAGCAGTCCTAATAAGCAGTTATAATGAGCAGACAAGTTTGGGCAACACGTCCTAGCAGAGGTTCTCACTCTGACCTTTTACTAGAATCTCCCATGAACATTGAAAGCAACTAATGATGCCCAGGCCTCACTTGAAGGCCAATTGGACCATCATTTTCAGTGTTGTTCCAGTCATGGCAACTTTTTGAAATCTGCCCAAATGATAAGAAGCCAGGAATGCTTGGCATTTTTGTCTCACTTCTCAGTGTCATGTCTACTGGGACTAGCAACTCAAATCCCAGGACCATGACATACATTTGAACAGAGGGATCTGAGTGCAGATTCAAGGCTGACAAGGGTGTTCCAGTGAACAGAAATGAGAAGACACATTCTTTTCTCTCCACATTTTCCTCCTTTGGTACCTTCAGCCATCAAGCAGAGAAAAGTCTTTATAGAGCTCTTTTTCTGTTTTGTTTTGTTTTGTTTTTTCAAGACAGGGTTTCGCCTGTCCTGGAACTAGCTCTTGTAGACCAGAATGGTCTCAAACTCATAGAGACCTACCTGCCTTTGTCTCCCAAGTGCTGGGATTAAAGGCATGTGCCACCACCATCCAGTTAGAGCTCTTTTTGTTAAGGTACTCAGCCACTGAATGCAGTCCAAGAAATGCGTAAAACACTACCTGTCCCTGTGAGCATGTGTGGAAGCATGCTCAGAGGGTAAACTGCCCATACCCTGCCATTATCCCTTGTCTGTTCCAGGTACCATAGGGAAAGACAAGAATGACTACTAAACACATCTGTGGTTCATTTAGACAGTTTTCTTTAATTAACGATGAAGACACTACAATTCTAAGTACCAGACAGAATTGGGGGTAAAAAGAATTGAACACAAGCATAACACTGTAAAGAAAGCTTGGAAAAGTGAAACACCTCTAAAGGAAAAAAAATATAAACCTGGCCTGGTACCCATTACATATATACATAATACGTTATCCACATATATACAGTAAATGTTTTGGTAGCAACATAGACCATGCGTCGGTCTTTTGAACACAGATGAAGTAGCACCGTCAATAGCACCACCAACTTCAGATGATAAACCAAACCACACACAGCAAATGGAAAGCTTGATGGCATTCGTTTGGCCCACCCTGTAGCCAAGAGGTATAAGGAAAGTAACTACACAAGAAAGATTCTTCTGGAAACTATATTCTTAGGCCAGTGGCAAAGTTCTAAAATGGACTAAAAAAAATGCTAGCACTACAGATGGATATGCAAACAGACACATTTTCCTGGGTAGTGAATTTGTTCTATGATATGGCATAATGGTTAACACTGGAGAAAGAGACAGTATAGACACAGAGAGGTTTAAATAGCAGGTGAATGGCAAAGGGATAACACACCCATCTCTTGGTGCAGACATCACAAATGCCAAGTCATTGATAAGCTGGGGAAGGGAGATAATATAATGCCTTACCCAAGTCATACATTTTAAAAATCATATTTGCTAATTATAGGCTCTTAATTAAGAGTAGGGCCAAACACCTCCAGCACCTCTCAGTCTCCTTCCAGCATCTATTTGGTGCTCTAATTGCAAGTCATGAGGGACAAATACCCAACACATCGGCTGAGCCACACTTTCTACAGGCACATGGAGGAAACTGATGGACAGAACTCCAGTAGAACCTTCCCAATCTCAGGCTGGGCTCAGGGATGACAAGGGCCCGGTGTTTTAACACTTGGTTCGACCAACTACAAGAAAGGCTGTATTCGATATTTCTAGTTAAGCCTACAGCCCAGCCTGGAATTCTTCCTGTTCCTACTAACAAGGTTATAACTGCTCACACCCCTGCAAGAACAGACTGCTTGCTATAAGTTTCTCAGCAGCCCATATATATGAGTACTGCATCACCTCCTGCTAACTAACACACGCCCTGTCCTGGCAGCACTGGTTAGTCCTGTCTTGTCACTACAAAGAAACTATTTCTTATTTGGTTCCCCCAATTGTCCTCCATGTACCTTCCAAAGAAGCCCTTTCTCCCCAGTGGTGGTGTTAATGTCTGATATCTTGTTAGAGGGCCTCTTTGTATGACCATCTCACCTGCAGAGCTCAGCCAAGGCATCATGAGGTAAATATGGGATCATTATCACCCACAGCCACAGCAAGTCACAACTGTACTATCCCTCATGGCTCTTATTGTCATTGGGGTGGTGAGCCACCTTCCCTATCTTGAAGTCACCTGTTTTAAAGGTGTTTCCAACTACATGGTATATTGCATTCAGGATGTACCGCTGATCAAATAGGACTTCTGCACTATAAAATATTGTTTCTTACAGTACAGTAAAATTGTTTCTTAATACTTTGTCTCACACATAAAAGACAGACGACAAAAGCCTAGGGAAGACAGGCCAAACCTCTCTATTTCTGGCTAGATGATTCTTGAGTAGACCACCTTTTGTAGTGACTAGATTAGTCCAGAGTGGCCCTGACCTTTGAAAGTTAGCAAGAAGTAGCCCCACATGGAGCATCGGTATTGATTGATCATTATTGACCCAGGTGGTTGATCATTAATGGAATCCCCTCATTTCCAGCTGGTTCTGGAGCTAAGATTGTGTCCAAAACAAAAGTATCATCACAGCCAGGGAATATACTTGTTCTTTTCACAAAGGAGAATTTAAAACTCTGTCTTAATCAGTCTAAGAAAGAATTCTGTGAAAGGTTGGTCATGTAAAGAAAAAGCCACTAACTTCCACATTAGCCAGAGGCCACTAGAAGCCCTGTTAACATACCCTTGGTGGACCTGAAAATACTTGGAAATAGCTAAAAAGCCAACTCCTGTAAATAGGAAATTGAACACAAGAACTTAGCAGCTGATGATTTTAAAGTAAACCCTTCAAGGAGGCAGAGCAGGAGAATTCAGCCTGGGTACCAGCAACTTCCAGTTCCAAGGCAGCCACATTTGATGCTGTCATCAAATCCAGCTCAGGTAACTCTAGAAGAAGCTGAAGCAAGAATGGCTACCTTTGCACTATTATCGACTCAATAAAAAGCAAGAGATAGAGAAACTAGGAGTCCACTGTCCACTCTGCTCTTTTCTGTTCTCACCCCAAATGGCAATAACCCCACATGCAGAGGTGTGAAGTACAGGCTCTGTGAGAAATTATAGCCGGCTTTACAGGCAAATGTTTGGGGCTGACTTCATTCACTGTTCTCTCTTTAGTTACTCAGATCCTTGGGGAAAGAGAACAAGCAGCTTGCTTTCTTCTTACATTAGGAAGAGTTTGAGTCAGAGTGCTTAAAAACTAAAAATGACAATGAGAGTCTTTTCTTACACAATTGTAAAAAACCAACTTTCACATCAGATTTTTCAAAGCCAGTGGGATTTTCTACTGACAGCAAATGATGTCATCCAAAGAGTTCCTTGAAAACAATGTATTCTTATGACTAGAGACCTATTTACTTTAGAAACTGATGAGCATGCAAATGATTAAGATCTGCAACAATGAACATTGTACAACAGTCTGTGAGGTCCATGCCATCTGGCTGACTGAGCACTAACCCTGGCCTCAGCAGTCGGGGGTCTGTTTATCTCTGAATGGAGCAAGGGCTCCTTGACCAGTTGATCAGGGCAATGGTCACTGAAATGCCTTTCAACCCTTGCTCCTTGCTTGCAGCCCCACCTATGCAGCTCAACCCTTCCCAGAAGTAGAGAGTCGTTCCTCCCCTGAAGCAGGGCTAAATTCATAGGGACTCAGAGGGAGACTGATTGTTGGATTAATTCACTGTATTTTTAGGAAGTTTCATGGTGAGATCATTTACACTTCTGGAGGAGACATCTTCAGGTATATTCCCTGCCATTGCTATTTGAGAAGGGAAAAATTCCAAGACATGTGGACTTTCCAAATAAGGAAAGGACGAGCGTTTTCACTGCTGGCTAGATGCCTCAATGGCAGGTCACTATATTTTTATGTGCTCTCTGTAAACTGCATTTTATTAGATAACCGCTAAAAGCCCAGCAAACACCAGGGCAAATGGGCCTATTGCATTCATCTAAAACACACATAATACTGGAAGTTCTCATAATACATGAGATAGGGAACATAACATGGAGCCCTGGTCATGACTTTAAAAAGAAAGGAAGGGAGGGAGGGAAGAAGGAAGGAAGGAAGGAAGGAAGGAAGGAAGGAAGGAAGGAAGGAAGGAAGGACCTGGAATTTTAATTTCCAGTTAGCAAGAACACACTGTCCTAACAGCCTTCTCCAGACAATGTAAGAAATGAAACACGATGTGTACACAGAGAAAAGGGTGGGGGTGGGAGCAAAAGGCTTATAGAAGTGGGGAGGGGGAGCTCAACAGTGTCTAGTTTATTATGAACAGAAAAACATTTCCAGAATTTATAAACACCCACATTCTTCACTCCAAAGAGAGCTTTTGACTTGAAGGGATCGCTCGTGTCTCCTTCTGTCTACATATATACAATGAAAGTCTGTGGTTTCCTTTTCTTGCAATTTTGCTTCCATTCAATTACCAACTCTAAGCTGACAACTGAAAACATCCCAGTAGAATACATCCTCCTTCCGTTTGAAAAACAAAACAAAAGAAACCAAAAATTAAAAAAAAACAAAGCTAAGATTAATTTTTAAAAGGAACTCAGCTCAACATCAAGTTTATATTACAAGAGACAGTATCAGCAAGTATAACTATACAGTACAGAACCTTCTATGGCTCTATGATTCTTCTTATATTATTTTTTCTGAATTAGAATCTTAAAACAAGGTTCATACCATAGACTACTCTTTTTTTTTAGCCTCCTTTAAAGAATTTTCCCCCCTCTTTACAACAGAACATCGAAGACCTCATTTCCCCATCCAAAAGAAAAAAAAAAAAAAAAAAGATGCGCTGTAAGGAAAAGTTACATTTTCATTAAAAAAATTACACATATAAATCAAACCCTATGTTAAATATTTAATACTCTCTCCACCCAACGTGAACAGTTCCATATGAAATAATTTACAGTGGTGTTTCATGGAACACGGCTTCAGAGTAGATGAAACATACGCTGTAAAGGCGACGCGAATAAACCCATTCTCTTGCGGCATGGTGGTGGGCACACCAGCTCATTGTGGCCAGCTAAGTCCTTAAGGTTCAAGATGAAGTTTACGCAGACTCATTGTCCCGGTGTCACAGTGCTTTCTTTTTGCTTGGCACAATATAGAGCGTGCAGTTCAGTCAATGAACTCCTGAGGATTGTACAGAGTAAACAAACTGTAATGGATGCATCGTACCAGCTACTGAAGAGGAAGACGTGAGGTCCTGCTTGTGAATTGTGAAACAGTTTGAGTCTGGGTACCCATGAGTTAAAGGAGGATTTTCTGAGGTCATTTAGGTCTTCATTCTGGAAAGGAAATGGGAAAAAAAATACGTTAAGATAGGCATCTGGTGATGTGTACTCAATCACAACATGGGAAGCTCACCCCTTACAGAAGGGAGACTGTATGAGATAAACTGAAGTTATGGGCATAAGTAGTAGTGTGCACCTACATAAAACCAACATACGGTATTTAAGTTGTCTTTCAAAATGCAAGTGTTTATAGCAACTCCAAACTAAAGTAGCCAATGCTGCAGCAAGCAAATCAATGGGACCCATACATTTCAGAGTTTCGGCAACAAAGAAAATACAAAATTCTTTGGAGTTATGTTTGAAGCAAAAATGCCCATTCTAGCTCTCATTTAAAATATTATAAAATACAACGCACAATTAGAGCCTACACTCAACCTTCCAATTTAGGTGTAATAGAAGTTTATTTAGGAAAAGCATTACATTTCTTTTCCTCAATTGGTGAAAGCTCACCACAGTGGGGCAGTATCTAAAATTCCCCTTCAGGAAGGAGACTCTTTATGAACCCCTGGAAACATCTCTTGCTCTCAAGTTTTCCCTCAGACAGCCCTTCAGAAGTGCCTATTTTTCATGCACTAGGAATTTAATCTATACATTTCAATATCCATAGAGTGCCCAGAAGAGTGTGTAGCAGGGTAGATTATCATTAATACTTGTTGAATGAGAAGATGGTTACATTGAGTGCCATGGAGCACGCAAAGTTAAATTCTGCTGAAGTTTGCCTTCTAGTGGCTTCAGAAAAGCAGGCGAGTTTCATTATAAATAGACTGTGAAGCAAACAGGTGAATTTCACAACAGGTGCACACAGGCAAAAGTCTAAATGCACAAAGGAGAGGAAGAGGGCTTCTAGCTAAGAACATTAGTTAAGTACCTCTCTGACACATTTGGCTGCCTTTAGAAGAAAAGGGATAATCCAGGATGTGGAAACAGGGATTGTCACCCCAGTGTTTCTCCAAAGCTTGCCACACAGCAGGCACTTAATAAATGTGAGCTGAACAAAGGGCAGGCATGCCACAGGCTTGCCATTGAAGACATGATAGAACAAGGCTCAGGATGGGAAGAGACCGGCAATGCATCGTCCATAAGAAGGGTGCAGCTTCATAGGACTGCCAAAGATGGTAAGGGACAATCAGAGTTAAATATACAGATCTAGGGCAGGTACATGGTGAAAATCTCTATGGACAGTCCAGGAGGTCTTTATCTAATTACAGGGATAACAAAGGCACCGCTTTCAGATAAGGTCAAGGTTCACATGAGATGCAAGGAGGACGGTGGTTTCTAAAACTCACAAGCAGAAATACTGACCAATACAACTTGTTTCTCTCTCCTCCCCTTACCTCCCTCCCCCTCCTTTCTCTCTCTTTCTCTCTCTCTCTCTCTCTCTGTCTCTCTGTCTCTGTCTGTCTCTCTTTCTGCTCTCCCAGTTTTGTTTTGCAGACTGGGCCTTGCTGTGTAGCCTAGGATGTCCTTGAACTCATCAAGATCCTCCTGCCTCAGCGTTTCCAATGCTGGGATCACAGGTGTGTACCCCCAACCCTAGCCTCTGCCTCCTTTTGAACAGGTTGATTGTGTCTCTGATCCATTAACATTTACATACTGGATTTTAGATAAGTCAAAATTTACCAAAAGAAGACTCTAATTTTATGAGGAGATTTCTATTTATTTTAAAATATTAACTCTGCCTCTAAAAGACAGGCTACTTTTTACTTCCTAATAAAGACTGCCTAGAGATGCCAAAAGAAAAACAAACAAATAAAAGTGTCCTGGGTTTCTCCTTTTAACTGTAGTGAGATAGAACTTACTTCAGGGGGAGAAAGGACCAGGTCATCCAAAGCCCCAGCTGGGCTATGACACAGCCAAGTTCCAAGTTTTGGGGTTCTCATTTACTTTTAAGTTTCTCCTGAACTCCTATCAAAATATCAACAGACAGCTAGACAGAGATTCACAGCTACGGACCTAAAATTAGGCGGGCCACACTATATTAAACAACCTATGACAAAGAAACTGCCCAATATACAATGCAGAGGGGCGGGGGAGGAATGAACGGCACACAGCATGTTTTTCATTTCATATCTGGCTCTCCTCCAAAAGGGCTGAAGGAACAGCTTAGGTTGGGAACAAACTGTACTCAGGTTTATCACCACACATGCCAAACTGCATGGGTGTACAGGGCAGAGACTAGGGGACCCTGGAAGGGGAGGCAAAAAGACTTAAGTACATTGCTTTATATCACCAGGTCCTGCTCTTGTAATTTCACATAAGCATGTTCAAAAAGCAGGGGGAAAAGGCATAGCCCACGACTTTAAGAAGTCTTTTATGTAAAACCTAACAACACATACTTCAGCCACAAGTAACTCCTATTGGTGTCACCAATTTAGGAACTTAGGAAAAGATGAAAACTGGAGTTGATGTGGAGAGGACGGAACAGAAGGCTACAGAGGAAGCGGAAAGCACACACCTGCCTGGCTTCGTACAATGGTGTGAACCTGTGACTGCACTTGAAGGGAGAACTGTCCTTCACCGTGGCCCTTATGGAGTCAGTATACTTATTTGGACCATGAAGCCATTGTATGCAGCAGGGCTTATGCAACGCCTACTCAAGTTCCCATTTCTTCAGGCCTTCTTAGCCTCAGGCATGGTCTTTGCCATGGTCTCTACAGCAGCCGGTCTTAGGTCTTGGAAAGCACATTTGATCTTTGGGGATAGCCAAAAAGTGTTCATGGGCAAATATGGTGAATTAAGGGACTGAACAAGCAAGGTTGATGGTTCCCAGTGACCTATTATCTAAAGCTAGAGAGCTTCAAGACTGAAGCCACAAACGCTTAATTCTTCTCTTGCATCAGGGAGAGAGAGAGCGACTACAGACAGACCTCTCTGTGGCTTCTGCTCATCTTCCTACATCCTTATCACTACAATCTTGCAGTCTAGACAGACTGAGCCTGCAACATCCAACGCACTGAGGGGGGAAAGACTAAGCTCTAGATGTACAGGTTTTTGTAATTTAGGAATATGTTTCAAAGAAAGGAAAAGAAAGAAAAGGGTAACTGTACTGGGTTCTCACAGTCATTCAATTCAACAAATATCTTTGACAAACACAAATGCAATGATGACGCAGCCATGGGTACATGCAATGTCCTTGACCCCCACAGCCTCCATTGGCAGACACCAGTCATCCATACCAAATGTGGTCATGCTACTTTCCAAATGAAAGAGCTCACTGGCCCTATGCATAAAATGGAAAACAAATGCAACACATTTCCTCAACAGAAGACACTGTGCAAATATCAAGCAGTAATGTCTGCCATACATTCTCTCCACTTTCATCTCTGGGCTGGGGGATAGCTTCTGAACCCAGATATGTGATGCACCTGTCATGAGATTTAGTAGCAGGAAATTACACTCTGACAAACTTTCATCACCACATCAGTATCTACTGTGCCCCTCGCTGTGTATCTTCTTGTCAGATAAAACCCACCTAATCCTGCTGCCAGAAAACAAACAAAAAAATGTAATTTTTAAAGCATTATCAAAAAAATTTTAAAGCACTATCAAAGAAGTCAACACTTAAACAATGGCACTTGAGTCCAACAGATTATTGCATTTTTGCCTCCAAACAGAATTTACATCTTCCGGAACTGTACTCACTTACATTATGCCTACTCGAGCTGAAAAACAGATACTACGGCTTTTGCCTCCTTTCACATTGTTTTGGATGACTGATCACTTTTGACTGTGAAAGCTGAAAACAGCACTCAGCTACAACAGAGGTACAGGGGAAGGGTCTGTACCCTTCCAGCAGCCACTTTTAGTCTTAACTTGAATGCTTTGAAACTTGTTGCCATTCTGAGGAATCAAGTGCAACTTAGTATTAAGTGTCTGACCAGGGTTACTATTCTTGATTCTTAGGAAACAGGAATAAAAAAAATGGTTCTAAAGTATAGCCACAAAATAACCCTCCCTCATCTAATGATATTTTCAAAAGGTCTGCAGGGCTCAGTTTCCTTCCATGAAGATCGCTGTTTGCAATATTGCTGTGAATTTAGGAAGACAATTTCCTATCAATAAAATCCTCTACTTAAAGAAATGTGTCAAGGTCTGGGAATGTTGCTAGGACAAGAGATACTTGGTTCTTTTGGCATGTCCAAGGCCCTGGGTTCAAGTCACTGCATGCCAAAAATAGTGTCAAAACAGTACATTGGTTTTTCATTTAACGTAAATGTGTTTTTAGGAAAGTTACAACACAGAACACTGTAAAATCCAGGAAGATCTAAAGAAGGAAAAAAAAAACATTGTTTATAATGCCTGGCAGCCATGGGTAACTGTTAATTCAGTTGTTTTAATTTCACAATTTACATGGAAGGTTTGAGATTTTGTAATCTCATTTGTGAATGTGTTTTTTAAAATGAGAAAACTAACATTAAAACCATCCTTCCTCACTTTCTCATTCTTAAAAACAGGTGAAGGGAATCATGTGAAATTATTAGCCTGTTTTTTTGTTTGTTTGTTTAATCATGTGAAATTATTAGCCTGTTTTTTTGTTTGTTGGTTGGTTGGTTGGTTGGTTTTTGTGTGTGTGTGTGTGTGTGTGTGTGCCTATCCTGGCACTCGCTCTGGGGACCAGACTGGCCTCAAACTCACAGAGATCTGCCTGCCTCTGCCTCCCAAGTGCTGGGATTAAAGGTATGTGCCACCAACTCCCTGTTATTAGCCTGTTTTTAAAGTCACTCCAGTAGCCTATCCTTTTTCTCATCTTCCTGATTCACTGTTTGTAATTGGAAAGGGGTGGGGGGCTGCTGCTTTCCCATCTTTGCTCTCCCAACTGGGAAAAGGGAGAGAGAAGAAGTGGAAGTTTGAGAGTTCAAACATTACTGTTGGGCACTGGTCTGCCCTCCAAGATGGCAGCTGTGATGCTAACGCTAGCAACATCATGTTTCTTCTTCCATCACTTCTCTGCTTCATATTTTTAAGACTGCATCTCTCACTAAGTCTGAAGTTCC